GGGACAGCCGGTAGGGGGCGCCAGCTGCCCCACTGCCCCTCTCACCCCGTCTCCTCCCGCTGCCCCCCAGCCTGCAGGCGCTGAGGAAGGAGAAGTCGCGCAACGCGGCGCGGTCGCGGCGCGGGAAGGAGAACTTCGAGTTCTACGAGCTGGCCAAGATGCTGCCCCTGCCCGGCGCCATCACCAGCCAGCTGGACAAGGCCTCCATCGTGCGCCTCACCATCAGCTACCTCAAGATGCGCGACTTTGCCACCCACGGCCAGCCCCCCTGGGCGCTGCAGGCCGAGAACGCCGCCCCCGCCGGCAAAGGTAGGCACCCCCGGGCGCCAGGGGTTTCCATATTGCCTACATATCGCATGCACCTTCGCCCCCACTCTCAGAACTGGAGTGTGCGTCTTTAAGGAGGGAAGCAGCAGCCGTGGCATTTCTATTCAGGCAGTTGTCATTCATGGGTGGTAACAATCCTCTCTCCTTTCTTCGAGGGTCTTGATGGCCTGCTAGTCGAGCTAACCTTTCTCTGGGCAGTTCTGCTGCCTGCTGGGAGGTCCTGGTCTCTCTTTCCCGGCCCCAGAGACTGGGTTTTTAGCTCTTTGATCACAGAGTCATTTGTGGAGACAGTTTTTCAGCAGCAGCTAGCGTCTCAGCTTTAGTTAAGCAGGGAAGGTAGGGTGGGCAAGCTGGAGGGGGGCTGTGTTGGCTACTCTGCGCATCCCCCCTTCTGGGAGACCCCCCCCCCCTCCCCCCCCGTTCCGCTGTTCAAATACGCGTCTTATTGGGGAGCATGCAGTACACTAGAAAATACGGTAGATCTGGACCCGTACGATACCCACCCCCTATTGGTCAGCGATGGGCATTATCCTCCTCTCAAGACCAGGGGCAGCCGGGTTAGACCCTGCTCCTCGCCATGCCCAGGACGGGATGGACCCACGGTCTCACCCGCTGGGGCACCGCGCGCATCCCTAGCCACCGCGCCGGGCAAATGCCGTATTTACTCACATACCACATGCACCGGCTTGGTTGAAAAGGAAAAGAGAACCTTTTTTGGGGGGCCTTCATCCTCCCAAAAGACGTCCTGGTCCCTGCACCTCCAGCAGGAGATGGGGGAACTCGAGAAGGTGCAGAGAAGGGAGCGAGGGGATCGGTGCTATGGGGGAGACTAACGAGAGGAGGGAGACGCTGGAGGGGGACGGGACGAGGGTTTACACCATACTGAGGGAAAGTCAGCGGGGCTCGATTCCTGGCCGTCTCTCACCAGACGAGAACGAGGGGTGCCGGCAGCACGAGACGAGCAGGCCGGCAGTGTAACACCGACCCCGGGACGGTCGTTTCCCCCACGTGGGGTGACAGCGGGGAGCTCGTGGGCACCGGGAGCGGAGAGTCCAGCCAGACGCACCCGGGGCTGCACCCGTGCTGGGGGAAAGGGGCATCGGGGGCTGTGGGGTGCAGGAGTGCGGGGCACGGCCTCGGGGTCGCCACGTCCTGGACCCTCGATGGCTGCGAGGGGGAGAGGAACGGGGGAAACCCTGCTCAGACCCCGCCGGGCATGGGGACCGGGCAGGACGGACCCGGGTCTGAGCCCGTCCGCGGCAGCTCCGCTGTTCTTCTGACCGCGCGCGTCTTCTCGGGGGCGCGGTGCGCAGATAACAGCGGCGATCTCTCTTCCCCCGTCCTAACCCACCCTGCCTACTGGCAGGTTGCTGGCCAATCCGGGCCAGCCCGAAACTGGAGGGGAGTTGTGGGGGAAATCGGAGGCTGGGCAGGGGGGCGCGTCTGCTCTCAAGCTAAACGAGGAAGGATTTGGGGGTGAAGGGGGGAGTCCCGTGCAGCGAAAAGGATCCTCCTTTTGGGTCAAATGAGCCGGTTTTGGGCCGGTCGCTGCCGCTTGGATCCGAGCAGCGTCCTCAAGGGGAGGGAGGGAGGTTGAAACGGGGTGACGGGTCCGTGTGTGCAAGGAAATATCCCCCCCCTTGTGCTTTCTCATGGGGGGGTCAGTAACCCACTCCCTGCCTCGTCCGTGCAGGTCGGTGCCAGCCCCGACCCCCTGCCCTCGTTGCCTTCTGCATCCTCGCACCCGGCCCCGTCGTGCTCACAGCCAGGGGAAACTGAGGCACACGGTGAGGGGAGTCGACGACAGCCTGGCACTCTAACCACGAGGCCGCGCTTCCTGCTTGGAAAAGCCAGGGGAGAAGGGGACTTGGGTGGGGCGGGGCAGGGCAGGGGGGTCTCCTGGATGGGGAGGGAGCCCCTGTTTGAGTATAGGGGTAGGCAGGGGGTCCGGACGCCTGGGGCGGGGCAGCCAGTGGAGCTGAAGCCCCCTCC